GGAAAAAGAATACAGAACCTTTAGAAATGTCTATGAATTCAAGAGGCAGTTTGCTGGCCTTTAGTACTTATTCTTCCCACGTAGAAATGCCTTTCACTTGTCAATGGTGAATGGCTGTTTATGGCATGAATCTTTTACTATGCAGACATGAAGACAAAAGGTCCTAGAAAGAATGATGTGAGCTTTTTACTTCTGCCTAAAAGTTTAGAACTCTTTCTCTCACTTGAGGAAAACTTGCATGTCTGTGTATATATATATTTTCTTTTCAATTGCATTTTTCTGTCCTTGTCCTTATTATAGATACTTCCACCTACCTTGGCCTCTTGTGACCTTTACTTTAAAAAATATGGTTTACATTCAACTCTAAAGTATTTGCAGAGGATCCCACTTTAGAGTTATGGTAGTTGGCACACATATCTCTGAAGACAGATTTTGTCCTCATCTAGGAGCTAGAATTAAAATATCAGCTTTTTCACTCTTTTGGCAGGAAGCAGAAGTCATATTTCTAATCTTGCGTCTTCACAAGGGTGTGATTCTGTAATGCTCTGTGCACATCGTGAGGTCTTGCTTGCCTGACATCAGTACGAAATGAAAGTTTTAACTAACATCCAGACATCTTGCAGGAAGAGGCCTGGGATAATCTGAATTTTTATTGAAGGTTGCCCAAAGTGATTATTTTATGGCAGTTTCCCCTTCTTTTCCTATGACATTTGAAGAAATTATAGGGCTTCTTACATTTTGCGCTACCTTGGCTGCTCTTGTTCCATCCTCTGAGGCTGAAGACATGGAGGTGAGCTTGCAAAGAGACTGCTCGACTCATTGACTGTGGTATTGTTAAACTGATAGGCACTTTTTCCCCACAAGCATAGCACGTTTCACCTGTAAACTTGGGTGAAACTTGAAAGCTTAACATGGAAAGTTGCTGGTCAATAAGCTTCCAACAGATACTAATAATTGTGTCTGCCTCTCCATTTGTAGTACTTCAGAGGCACCACTCAAGAGGAGAAGCTTGAAGCCTTTAGAATCACAGAATCATAGTATCATTCAGGTTGGAGAAGACCTCTAAGATCACCTAGTCCAACCTTTCTTAAATATCGGGATGAGCAAAAGGCAGGTGTGCGACCCTGCCACAGATCAGACATCAGAACTGCTCTTTAGGTACATTTGCTGATTTTCTGGGGCTCAGATCTGGGATGCTCTGGAGAACCTGCCGAGGCTCCCTTGGCCCTTGGAGTATAACCTCTTCCAGTTCATCCACATGGGGACTAGTGGTGCTGGCAGAAAGACCTTCAGTCATAGAATCAGAGAATGGCTTGGGTTGGAAGGAACCTTAAAGATCATTTAACTCCAACTCCCCTGCCATAGGCAGGGATGCCACCCACTAGATCAGGATGCTCAGAGCTTCATCTAACCTGGTCCTGAACAACACCAAATCCATTATCTTTCCAATTTAGAGACAGAGATGTTGTGCAGGACAGTTTCAAATGCTTTGGACAAGTCCTGGTTTAGACAAAACACAGCTTTAGGATGGCTAAATAGTTGACTTGAATCTCATTTACAATAACCTCATCATCTGCTTTCTGAACCCTAAGATGGGACAACAGATTATGCCACAAGCTTTTTCTTAATTTGAGGCAAAGTTTTTAACTGCTACCTAGTTTGTTAGTTAAGGCTGCAAAACAATACAATCCAATAGTGGGTATTAAAATTGATTCATCTAGCATTCTTCTTTAAAGTGCAAAAGTAGGAAAATGGCTGATCTTCCTATCTTCTGCTTTCAGTCTTCTACAGAAAAGCTATGGTGACTGACTTCTTTCTCAGAAGCCTAATATTCTCCCTAGTATTACTGCCACTTGCATGTTGGCAGCGAAATAGCATGGACACGTTGTCTGTGTGGGTACACTGACTTGTGAGAAGAGCTTTTGGTTTTGGTTTTGTGAGTGATCTAAAATGTTGAACAGGATAATGATATTTACAGTAAGTACCTTCCTCGAGCAGCTCAGCTCTACTGGTGTGACTGGGAGTAGATGCAGTTCGTCATTCAGGATAGTTCCTGATGATAGCTCCTCAGTCAGGAACTCTGTCCCCATAACCAAGCCAAAATGTCTTGTGCTATCCTAGTGGCTGCAGGGTCCAGTATTCTGGACCAACCACTTGCTTTTGGGAAATCACAACAGGATTTTGCTAAATATCCTTCCTTTTCCACAACAAAAACGGTAACATATAACACAGCCCTGCTCTGAATCTGTGGTTGAGAATAGTGCTGAAGCTGAAAGATACTAAGTATATGCATAGTAAAAGTCAGGATTTCCCTTAAAGAACATCTGCTATACAGATTCAAAGGGTGAGAGGGGCAAAGAGACAGGCCCAATGTCATATACAGGGTTAATAACACTCACTTAACTTCAAAAATCTAAAACCTTCCAACTCAGGATATTCTACGATTCTACTCTATAACTGTACTGGTCCAAGGACAGACCCCTGTACACCACTTGTCACCAGCCTCTACTTGGACATAGATCCATTGACCACCACTCTCTGAGTGTAACCTTCAAGCCAATTCCTTATCCACTGAATGGTCCACCCATCAAATTCATATTTCTCCAATTTGGAGATCAGGATGTCATGTGGGAGTATGTCAAAGGACTTGCAGAAGTCCAGGTAGATGACATCAGTTGGTCTTCCTTTGTCAACTGATGCAGTCACTCCATCATGGAAAGCCACCACACTGTTCAGGCACTATTTGCCCTTGGTGAAGCCATGATGGCTGTCTTGGATCACCTCTTTGTTTTGCATGTGCCTTGACATTGCTTCCAGGAGAATCTTTTCCATAATCTTGCCAAGCCCAAAGGTACTTGATTTCTTATGTGACAAATGATAAATAAGTTGTGCCAGGGGAAGTATTGGACATTAAGAAGAATTTCTTCAGAGAGGGAGTTGTCAAACATAGGAACAGGCTGCCCAGAGAAGTGGTGGAGACCACATCCCTGGTGGTGTTTAAGAAACACATGGATGTGGCACTAAGGGACAAGGTCTAGTGATGGGATTCAGTAGGTTGGATTGAGAGCAGGTGGTCTTGAAGGTCTTTTTCAACCTAGATGATTCTATGACTCTATAGAGAATTCATCTGAGCTATCTTAGGCCCCTCCTTCAAGATGAAATGAATTGCCAGCTGGGGACTTCTTACTTCATTTTGACTGTTAATCAGTGTCATTGCTTCCAGCAGGCCTCTTAGGGAAGCCAAGGGTGACTAGCCCGGACCTGGGGATCTAACTTTCACTTGCCTAAAATGGGGTGAATGAAGTGACCCATGGTGGAAAAAAACACACTTCAGAGGGCTCCCCACTAGTTCCTGGTGCTTTCCCATTTCCTCTCAAACTCTCTGCCACTTTCTAGAGACAGCAGAGATTTTTACAGATTACAAATGCAGAAAAAGAGCATGACTTACATGGGCTTTTAACCTACAAATCATTGCCAGAAAAACCTTAGAATTTCCAAGAGATTATGGATTTTTTTTTTCATGTCTTTTAAAAGTGGGCAAGAGTAATCCTCAAGGGAGCAAATGCAAGTATTCAGGATTTTTTTCAGCAACAATGTAAAATACTCTCCACACTTTGCTGAAGGTCCTTTACAAGTAAATTATGATAATTATTAATCTGTGTATGCAGAACTCCAAGGTGAAGTGGGTAAGCAGTATCAGCAGATCAATAAGGGAAGCAGAGAGCCCGGGCCTTTTGATTTTGGCATGGGTGCTTTGCTCCATAGCACAATCCTGCTCTTAGAACTGACTCTCACCAGGCTGTATACAATTTAGAATGGTGATTGAGCACATATTATCATTTATATCCTGCCCAATTTCTGTCTTATACATCTTCCCAGACTCTCCAAGATTAACAGAACAGTGTCCCAAAAAGCTGGTCAAATCAGCTGAATCCTGGAAGGATGCATCCTACATATTTGCATATATATAACTCATATCAAGCCGTTAGGGCAATGAAGCTGGTGAAGGGTCTAGAGAACAAGTCTTATGAGGAACAGCTGAGGCAGCTGGGGTTGTCTAGCTTGGAGAAAAAAAGGCTTAGGAGAGACCTTATTGTGCCATACAATTACCTCAAAGGAGGTGGTAGTGAGGTGGGGGTTGGGCTCTTCTCCCAAGCACAAAGTGATACAATAAGGTAAAATGACATCGAGTTGCACCAGGGCAGGTTTAGGTTGAATATCAGGAGAAATTTCTTTACTGAAGGGGTTGTGTGGCACTGAAATATGCTACTCAGGGAAGTGGTTGAGTCACCATTCCTGGAGGTCTTCAAGAAACGCACAGAACTTAGTAGCAGGATTTAGTGGTGAATTTATCAGTACTGTTAAAAGTTGGACTAGGTGATCTTGGTGGTCTTCTCCAACCTGAATACTTGTATGATTCTATGATTATATGTGGGTAATGAGGAAAGAGGTAATTCAGTTATTAACTATGTTCCATTCACAGAGGTTTAGAGCTTCCACTTACTTATATTTGACAGCTATTTTCTGCATTCCAATCACATACAAAAAATGTCTCCTATTCTTGTCACGTGAATGTGCTGTGTCTTGCAACTTCTTCAGAGTCTACCATTACCATCTTCATTGCTTTTGTGCCACTGATTAAAAAACCTCTTCTTAGCTAAAGCCCTTGAGAGTCCTTCAAGTCAGCATCCCTAAATATGCATTCCTTTTCCTGCTAAATAATTAGTTTGAAATTGCAAAGTGATTCCATGAATGGTCCTAGATTTTTTTTTTGTTTTTATCTTAATCAAAAGGTAGCGTTTTGAATGGCTTTATGACTAAATAACTGTGGAAAGAATTGTCTCCAAAGCAGGCGCTCCAAAAGCCAAAGAACAGAGGTATGCACTTTTTCTTTCTTTTACCCATGATTAATATAATTTTTGTCACAGAAAATGGGGTGAAATACCTCATATCTTTTCTATTCTAACAGCTTTAATTGACTGAGCAAACAGTATACCCACCAGCAATGATGTAAAAGCCTCCTCCTGCTTTGTACAGAATGTGGCTGGCAAAAGGAGCTGCACAGATGATGAAGAAACTAGCCATCACAATAGTGAGCACTCCCAGGAGCATAAGAACTGTCCAAAAACCTCGATAAACTGGAGAAAGGGAAGAAAGAAAAAAGCACACAACACTTTTTAGAACTTAAACAAGTGACGTATTTGGCTAACAATACTTTTTCCTTTCCTCTTCTCTTTTCACTTTCCTTATTAACAAACCAAACATTCATTCCATTGTGTGTGCACCTTATATATCATGTGGATCGAAGTAGGTTTGGACCCCAGTTCTTATCTGATGATCACGGAAAATAAGATGTAAGTTACCACGAATGAAATCCATATGCTTAATATTTAGACAGTGACTTGCAACATAGCAAATTTATGTTTTTTAGAAAATGGTGCACCAAAGGTGTAGCAATGATACTTTGGAGTAAATGATTGGACTGACTGGATATAATTGTTTTACCAAAATTGACTGGGAGAAGCAGAGAACTCTAACATTTTGACATTATTAGTGCTCAGAACCTCTCACCAAAAGCAATCTTTAAGTTCTCTACAATTTACTAGTGGATAATTCTCCTTACATATAGTATATTCAATACAGAGAAATTTAAGCAGGAAAGAAGTGCAACTTAAAAATGTAAACTGAAAAAAAAAACAAACCCACAACACTTTTTTTTTTTTTTTTAACCAGCCTATTCCTGCTCTAATGCTCTCTGTATTTTATTAAATTTAAAATGTGATGTTTCAGAAGTCCCTGTTAGACAGTGCCAAGCAGTGCTGAATTAATGGATGCAGCTGGTGATAAATGAGCCGAGAGTTTTGTGACATACTCTGGCCAAAAGAGTCTTTCTAACAATTATTTTTTAGCTGGTTAATTGCACATCCATTTAACAAAGTCATCATTTTACAAATGCTACAAGAGTGACATAAATTTCTCCCATGAATTTAAAAATTGGTACATTAACACAACCCATTAGTAAAATTATGAGTTGCAAAGATCTCCATCGTCAGATCTGAAAATCTTGAAGCACTGACAATTCAGTCAGTGAAAAACATTTCCACCCAACTGAGAGAAAGCATATAAGCCAGCTGGCATGTCAGAAAAAGTGAGTCACAAAAGAAACTGCCACTTATCATTTGACAGCACCTACTTACTGTTATAGCAAAACACAACTAAGCAACTATTATACTGGTTCAACTCCTGAAACTTTCAAATCCATTCAGGCTGCTAAAGCCAGCTTGGAATAATTCAGGTTTGCTCTCATCTAAAGACCGAAGGTGCGCTAGACATTATCAGTTTGTGTTTCCCACTAATGTGTTTCAAAAATTTACAGTTTTCAACTTGACCAGCTTAACTCATGTTAAAGTATACATCATCTTGCCTACCTAAGCCCTGTAAATGTATTAGCTAGATCACATTCACCGCATCACATTAGACACACTTTTTAAATAACAACCTTTTTAATCTAGGCAAAGATTCACAGACATAATTTTCTGCCACAATGATCAGCAGATTTGGGCACAGGGAAGATGAATGTGTCTGAAAGTAGTTGGCAGAAGGGCTAAAACTGTGTTTTGGTTCATCTCCAATACAAGGCTTCCTACCACATAAACAAATAAATATGAAAATAGTAGGTAAGAGATAAGGCTGTGGTTCAGCAAATCAGTTAAGTGTGTGTTCTGCTTTAAGTACTCTAATTCTTATGGGATTGAGGCACCTGTTTAAAGTTAAACACATTGTTAAATGATTCACTTAATGCAAATGGACAGTGAATGGAGACCTAGAAAGGTAAATCTCTCAAGTCCTTTGGTCTTGGGTATTTGAAGCAATTTCATATTATTTTACTCATGGGTCTACTTTGCTAAGCTTCATCGCAGTCCCCAAGTCCATGGGACATTACTTCCTCATTTAAAACCTAATACTGCTAAATCAGCCTATAACCACCCAACTCCTTTACATGGATGGCCCAAGGTACTTCAAAGTCATGCTACATAATAGGACACATCGGCCAAAATGGACCTTGAAAAAGCTTACTTCAATATCATTATGGTCAGTCACTGAAGTTATATAGCACTGTTTCTGTTTTCTGAATGGATGAGGACACAAGCTTCTCCAGCATTACAAAATTAGTGTGCAGCTTCATTATATATTCTTTGTACAGGAACTTTGAAGATGGTTTTTAGTGAACTTTTACCAGAAAAGCTTGATTTCCTCAAATATTCCTGAAAACTAAACATAAATGGAGTACAAATGTATCTGATGAAAATCTATTTAAACCTCTCTGTGACTATACAAGAGAAAATCTGTTTCTCTGCTCCAACAGCGTAACTGTTTTATGCATTATATATGAAATACAGATTTGACCTAGCTATCACCTGAAATAAGCTTCCGTTGTATTCCTCTATACATAATTATTTTCTCTAGAGAATCATGGAGATATTCCGATGATCCTAATACTCGTTTATCTAGCTAACTCCATCATTAAACATCAATTAGAAAATGAAGAAGACAGGTAAAAAGTCTTCAATGCTCTAAAATTTGTGACTTTTCATGTAAATACTTACCCCTTCTAATCTACAAGACAGGAAGTCATTAAGGCCATTTGTGGCACAAGTCCAAATAAACACCCTAAGAGCATCTAGACTTTTTATTTAATAATGGAATTAAAATGCAACCATTCCCCTGCAGAGAAGACTTCACTTATTTCATATTCAGACCATTTTTACCCAGACCACACCTCCTACCTTCTCTGTTTAGATGGGCAAGATCGCTTCCCGTGGAGCTAACCATTCAAAATTACAGTGCAGCCCTATTGCAGTCACTAGCTTAGCTGGCATCAACAGATGAACACAAAAGAGGTGGTTGAAATAAACCTACCTAAGGATGAAATTCTTAAGTCAAAGACTCTGCTGCTCTAGGATTGAGGAGATCTTTGGCAGATAAAAAAACAGCTGAAGACACTGTTTTGAATTATGATTCTTTATAATATATATATATTTTTTAATATGCTTCTTTATATAAAAGGGATGACACTGTGATCCAAGCAGTCTGTTTCAACTGTGGTTCAGTGTACATACACAAGATGTTAAGAGAAGTCTGCTCCTTGTCAAGTCCCACTGAAGCAGTTCATAAGATAGCCCATGTTCTGGTCCAAACAAGGAATGCCCTTGCTTCTGTAAAGAGCAGGCACTAAGTAAATGAACCTTACAGATATGTCAGAATTAGCTACCTCAAGTACTTGTGTTATTCCAAGTATTTCCTGCAGTGGAAGAAATAAAGTACAAGCGCTACCGCAAAGTCTGAGGTAAACCTATCTGTAGTGTTAACCTTAGATATCATTGCTCTACGTTGCAAGAGTGCTAAACAGAGGTTCTGTAACTTCTCTTGGTAAGCTGTCCCTTCATCAGGGTACAACATTTGTCTTGGTAGTGACAGGCAGGCCTAAAAATAAAATAGTACTTAGAGGAAAACAGGAATACAGCCAGAATGCTTGTCTTTGAGCTCTGCACCATTCAGTCTACATACCATGAGAATATAGCAGCTGAATTATATTGCTTTCAAATTGCGTGACCTGTGATTTTGCCTTTCCACCTGGTTTTCTCCTAAATGAGAAACTTAGATTAACTAACTAACCTAGATTCCTCCGGAGACTTCTGCATCATTTGAAAACCAGCTGATGTATCACATTTTATGTAAGGGACTGAATTTTGGAGAAGTGGCTGAAAAGTATCAAAAGTTCCCTTTTCTTGTATAGGAGATCCCAACCCTGTTTATCTGCAGAGTTTCCTATTTTCCTATTTAACTGCCACAGTTTCCTATTTTCAGATGTTACTGGTGCTTGATATGGAAATAAGTAATAATATATTTGACACAGTTACACAATGATGTCACCTAAAAGACACATTTTTTATGTAGTAGCAATGCACACCTCAAAACCTCCATAATGGGCTATTCAGGAACAGGTTAACTAATAATACAATGCAACACCCATCTATAAACTAGAGATATTGACACCAAACTCATGAAACCACACCACATACTTTATTGCCCTTGCCAACTTTCCTATGGCCTACAAAAAATAATAATAGTATATATATATAAATAAAAATCAATATTGAACAAGAATTATTAAGTCCTACAAAGCTGAACATATTTTTGAAGCATGTGTGAGTTCAGTGCTTCATAAACATTACAAAGAATCATTAAAATGACTTGGAAAAGTTGTCGTGATTTTTCACCCACAAACTCAGGTCCTAAAGTGAACCTAACCTTTCCTGTGATTTGGCTAAATAGTGAATTTCAGAATATCTTTTTTACCTCTCTATTTAATTGAAGTGATATCAAAATGATTTTGACAAGAGGCATCAAAATGCCACTACCGATATAAAATACGATGAAAAGTAAAATGCCTGAACTGTTCTATATCTAAAGTATCTTCTCTGCAGATAAACAACTGCAAATGTGATCACAGCTCTCAGCAGCAGCACCTGAGACACATCTAGCAACACAATAAACCTTGCAAAACTTTTATCAGTTTTACTCAGTACCCTTTATTATCCCTTAGTAGTAATAATCTTTTTTTTTTTTCAAATAACCTTAACAGTAAAATAAATACAATATTCACATTATGAATACATTGCTTTTTTAAATACTTCTTGCTTTATCACTGCTCAGTGGCTGGGGAGTTCTTCCTTAGTAAATGTACTGTATTACAACCTCTCACAGGCAATTATGTGACCGTATTACATAACAGCATTTTTTGCCCTAAAAATAGGCTAACTCTAGCATCTCACTATACAGTTATTATTTTCAGATTTCATTGCTGATATTTCCTAGATTACTTTAGGTTAATTTCAGCCCAGCAACAAACCTGCCAATAAATTTGATCACACCAATTTAGGTGTAATAGTTGCTGAACCAGAACTTCTCTTCAGTCCTATAAACATTCTGTATTCCACATTATATTAGGCACTACTTCAAATGCTGGCAATGTGCCCAGTACTGGACAAAATAAGATACAAATGGTCAGGAAAAAAAAAGTACTAGCAGCTACAAATCAGAGTATTAAACTGATGTGTCAGTGCAGCCCCATTAAATTGCTTCCAATTTAACCTCAGAAGTTGCTGGGGCAATTTACAACAGTTAAGAAACTACTGCATATTTCCAAATAAACTTGCATTTTTTTTATATTTATTTTTTAATTGATGACTTGATTAAGTGATAGATCTTATACTCTTATATTATCTTATATTCCTTTTTCTTAGGAATTATCTCACCGTTGCAATATGGGACTACTTGTATGAGTAAGGACTTTGTACAGTAAAAGAGAGTTTTATAAAAGTACGATATCCTTGAATATCAATGTTAAGTAATCCAGTGATGTGATACCATGAATTAATCTAGCTTGCAAAGAATTATTATTTAAGTAATATAATTATAAAAATGTATATAAAAATGTATGCTTATTTTAGCATAAAATATTTAGAATAAAATAAATAAAGGTCACTATTCAGGTACTTTTATTGTATGGGTTATTTTTTTTAAATTATTATTCCTAGGTTGTAGTCTGTTGCACATATGTTTGTGAATCATCATATAAATGAATCTGCTGGTGACACAATGAGGTGCTGTCTGTCCTCTTAATAGCTGCACATTGTAATAGCTGTCACTATAAAACATTGTAACATCACAGAAAGTCACTAGAGTCAGGCTTCCCTGACTTCATTTAGATGTCTATTTCAGGCTAAGATAAATGACATGGCCTGCAAATTTGTTTAAGTGCATAACTATAAATGATGGCTAGCACAGCTGTAGACTGCACTTTACACTGCAGGTAGGTGATCCACCAAGATGCTTAACAAAACCAGTGAATGAACAAAGCCATAGTACTTGTGATTAAGATACAGAAAGCTGCAATTTCAAAACAGTACTAACCCACCCTTCCAAGCTGATCATATATCTGACAGTAATGATGAGAGGAAATCTGAGACAATAAAACATGCATTTGAATCCCCAATGTCAGCGTCACTGTAGGCTTTTCTGTCTTCACACTTCCATCTAAGGCTATAACTCTTCACAGCAAAAGCTCATAGTCTAGGTTTCTGTAAGAGGATGAACCAGGCCCTTTGTGTAAAGCATACTAACACACTAAACTTCAAGGTCTTCAGAGTTTGAGTTTTTCTGGGAACTATCAAACACCTTAAAACCAACACACAAAAAAATCTAAATAAATTAAGAGAGGATAGATCAAGCCTTTTTTGAATTATGGCCATGGCCCAGAAAAACTCTGAGGCAAATTTTTACAGATACTAAAGCCAAAGGAGTTATGTCAACAGAGGACTTCATTCAGTCACTCCACTCAAAAATCATCAGAGATTTTATAGTCCTCAGGAAACTTATTTTTGCCTGAGTCATCCTAGCTGGATGGTAACATGGCACTCCAGGTACACACCACAGTTGTGTTTTCACTAGGGTCTGTAATTAAATCCAATTTGCTCTGACAAGTTCTCATAGTATCTTAAAGCTGAGTTGTCTGTAAAAGGTGTATGCCTTTGCTTGTTCAGAACGTAACAGTTCTGTTAACATGAAGTTAGAGATTTTTAGAAAATTGTGTTGTACATCCACACTTGATTTCTCTAATGAAGTTTAAAGCTTTTTATTCAACTGTTTATTTTTCAGCAAACTATTTTTCAGATGACAGAATATTTCTTCTTATCCATTCCTAATTAAAATATGACTTGGGGGTCTTATGAAAAATGTGGTGAAAAATCTTTCTGAAAGGACCAGGAGTGGTGGATTATTATTTTTTATTTTTTTTTTCCCAAAGTGATAGCTTTTGAGAAAGATATAAGCCATGAAAAAGGAAATACTGAATCAAGACACAGTAGCAAAACCAAAAAAAAAAAAAAGAAATGAGAACCCTAATCTTTTGGTAGTGCCCTTTTGTTCTATGTTTTGTTGACAGAAGGTATTAGATGCAGCCAAGTGGATGTACAAATAGCTGACAAAATATTTTTTTGCATGAAATCAGATGGAGGGCTTTCTCCACCGACTAATTTCAGAGAAGCATTTCCTCCACTGGGAATCAGAAAGACAACAACTTTCTAGTATTTCTTAATTTAGTAACTGCAGATTCAGTGAGGTTTTAAAAGCCTGTTTGCCAAATATCACAGGCTGGACTGTCGAAGTACACTAGAAGAGGAATGAATTTTGAACTAACAGAAGAGATGATGATATAACCTTCTTAATAAAAAGTTGTGGAAGATTCTTGAACAAGTATACCTGCTCTAGATGCTGAAAATGAACTGGTGGCATAAAAAAAACTTCTCCAGTTTTAATAAGCTCCAAAGCAATCCAACTGTATCTATTTATACAGCAGGAATGGCTCTGAATATACTCTACCTGGGCCAGCATCTATAGTACAGTTCTGTCTATTTTTAATCTTGTAATATAAAATATAGATAGGAAAATTATATTTGAGCAGTGGTTCTTTTGGCAAACATTAACTGAAATTAATTAAACTTTTGATGATATTCCTTCTCATTTCTTTATTCTTTGTTTGTCCACTTCTGTGTAATCATGCAATATGATTTGAAGATCTTTTGTGAATGTATGAGTGAATGGTGGAATACAAACTCTGTCTAGATTATTACGAGCAGATGACTCGTCACTTTCAAATGGAAAGATAAACTGTTCTAGATGTGCTTCGAAGGTACAGATTAGATCTCTGACTCTGAATGGTGAGGTATTAATTCTTCCTGGACAAACAGTTCATAATTTCTGAAGATTAACAGAACTGTTACCAGTCCAACTTCTTTTTCATGTCTGCAGCATAAAAAATGGATTCTGAAGACACTTCAAAGTCAGCAAAGGTATAATTACAGCTTCAGGGATCACTTAAGTCATTGAGTCAGCAGGCTTGGAGACATGCAGCATCCCCACATCACAGGTTATTTAAAAAGTCACATGAAATAGGCATCAGAAGCAATATTTTCAAATACATTTGCATAAAGCCCTTGATCTGATGAAATGTGACCAATTTTTTAAGTGGAGTAGTAAAAACAGAGCTTTCCAGGCATTATTCGAGTATAAGGTTTTCGATTCTGTGTATTTTACATATACATACGTATGTCTGTTATTACACTATAGTTTCTCCGTGTTATTATCTCAGTTTAAGATATCAAGTATTTTGAAATGTTATAGAATATATATATTTTTTCAAAAATAATTTAATTTACAAAACAAGATTGCACATTGCTACACTCTTGGTCTACATTATTCATGTATGGCACACACTGTTCAGACTAATTTTAGCGCTGCAACTTCCTATAGTGTCAGTGGAGAGAAACTGGCACCTCCAGCACTTGGTGCAGTATATCTGGGTTATTTGAATAAACTTAGACGGTATCAAGGCCCCTCTTTTCCCTTCTCATAAAGTAAAAGAGCAATATAATTCCACATGTGGTTATTTATCTGACAAGAAATAGTTTAATTGGGATATATGAGAAGAAGTATTTGTTTAATGCATTCAGCCCAAGGAAGATACTTTTTCTGTATGAAAAAGAAATGATTCACTAAAAAGAAATGTTTCTGGTTTTAGAAATGATTTTCATTCTGCCATTATACTTAAAGCTATGCATTCATTTAAGTGCTTTGCTAAATAGTGTCTTAAATATGTGTGTTGTAAAAGTATGAGGAGTATGAAATACCAAAACTCTGCAAATTAAACTGTGTGGAGTGATAATGTTGTTTTGTACTGAAGCATCCAAATTGTTTTCTTGAAACTATAGGCACTGTATCCATTTGCAGCCAAAAAAAATACTTACTGACTGCAGAGTCATAGGAGGTTGAGTTGTGTTCATCTCGGATATGAGGAAATGGTGAGAGGTATGCATGAGTACAGTTCTTAGAAGGTGACTGGTTGGCTAAAAGAAAAAGAGAAAAAAAGATTAATGCCTTAGAAATACAATATTTTGTGCCTGTTTTTCAAATAGGTAAACTGAGTTTCATAGGTCAAGATTCCAGGTTCCTTCCCAGGCAGTAGCTCTACAGTGGATTTTGTGTTGGTAATAGATACCAGCCTTGATATCCAGCCAAGGATTTTCCTTAAAGGGCGGCTCAGATTTGTACTACGGGAACAGTAAAGAAGCCTCTCTTGAGAGAAGGGTCTGGTACACTGCAATTTATATGCAATGCCTATGTATGCTTTTATACGAATACGTTCTTTTCTCTTGTGAAGGTTAATTATTTCTGTCTCATTACTGCATATCCCACCAAAACAAACAAACAACAACAAAACCAGGAAATTAATTTTTCTCTTGTGAAAAGATAATGACAAATACCGAGCATCTTCAGAAATTTTACATTCCCAACAACTATGAGTTCATACTATGGAATCAATACCTCCAGAGAAGTGTTATTTCACCTTTTTTTATTAAATGCTTATAAAAAGATCATCTTCTTCTTTGCAAAGGGTAAAGGCTTTCTATAGTTTAAATCACCTTCACATTTCATATTCTTGACTGCAGAATTCTCCAGATAAAGAGCAAGGGGAAATTAACTGCAGTGAATATTACATTTGCCACCTAAGACCAACCAACATATTTAGAAAAATATGGATATTGAAATAAAAATGGTATGATGGCACCTCCTTTTCTCAAGAATTGTGGAAATCTTGCAATAAGGAGAGGGAGCGCTGTATATCACGAGTAGGGTCAAACACAGTAGAAGTTTTGCTCAGTCTCTTCTTCATTGGAAAATCTGGTGGCAAAAAAACTCACTATCTTCCAGAATCCTGGCATGTAGTGAAAGAAAACAGGTCATCCATACAATTAGAAGAGGGATTTTTCTGGAGAGGATGTGTATGACACAGTTCTCACCATCGAATTGCTCGTGCCCTCCTTAAGCTACTCATAGAACTAGCTGGAAAAATAGTGCAGGCAAAAACTCACAGACCATCCTAACCACAAGGATCTTTTTCCAACGTTACAGACATAAACAATTAACAATTAAGACTATTAACAACAAAAAGCAAGAGTCTGTCCTGATAAGAAGGGACTCAGACTTAACAGGACAGGTATAACATAGAACTATATCCTAGGATCATAGAATGTCTTGGGTTGGAAGAGACCTTATAGATCTCCAACTCCAAACCCCCTGCCATGAGCAGGGACACCTCCCACCAGAGCAGGTTGCTCAAAGCCCCATCCAGCCTGGCCTTGAGCACCTCCAGGGATGCCCCTCCAGGGCATCCACAGCTTCTCTGGGCAACCCGGGCCAGTGCCTCACCACCTTGTGAGTGAAAAAATTCCTCCTATCTTATCTAAAACTCCCCTCTTTTAGTTTGAAACCATTTCCCCTTGTTCTGTCATTGTCTGCCCGAGCAAAACGTTGTTCTCCATCTTTTTTGTAAGTGCCCTTTAGGTACTGAAAAACTGCAATAAGGTGACTCCTGAGCCTTCTCTTCTTCAGGCTGAACAGCCCTGGCTCTCACAGACTGTCTTCACAGAAGAAGAATAACAAAGGAGAAGAATAACGTAACACTTGATGAATAAACTGATACTTAGACATGTATGATTATGTCCTGGGGATTCCTTTAGTACAAATTACAAAAGTGTTTGTCACTTTTAAATTTATTTAAAGATAGCTGAAGAACTAAAGAAGCCGAACGAAACTGAGTGATTCACAATCACTCAGGAAAAAAAAAAAAAAAAAAAAAAAAAAGGAAAAAAAAGAACTTTGAAATCAAACTACTGTAGATAACAACAAAGGAAAAGAGTTACTTACTGTACCAGAACTTCCACATGCTGGAGTTATGTTCTACTACATTTCCACTAAACCAGCACCTCCAGAAGAAACCTTCATGATGGAAAGTGGCCTTCTCTCCCTACGGAAAAAATAAAAAAATAAATAAATAAAAATCCATTACCATACCCTTTTTCAGCTACCTGAAAGAATCAAATTCACATGAACTTAGATGTTTAGGTAAAAAATAATACCACCACAATGAATCATAGACTGCATGAAGGTTAGCTATAGTACATCTATATAGTTACATTTCCTTTGAAAGACTGTCATATCACAAAAGTTGTATCACAAAAGACAAATTATTTTTGGAGTTGATAATAATTGCTTAAAAGAGGTTTTGAAGTAGCCTTGTTTTGAAGCAGCAGATTTCCAGAAGGTCAAAATGAACATGATCAAAAGTTCCTAGTGAAGTATATTTTTACAAAATAAATACATCCAAGAAACAACCAACATATAATTCCCATTACAAATAAAATCCATACTAACCCCAATATCTTCTGGTGCTTTTGAACATTTTCCTATTTCCGTAGCAAGAAGCCAATAATCAGTTCCAAACGCCACCAAAAAAAGCAAAACCCCTAGAGCTGCAAAGAAACCTCCAAAAAATATTCCTACACTCAGTTTCATTATCAAAGTTATCTTAAAAAAATGCAAGTATTTTTTTAAAATTACTGAAGAAGAAATTGTAAAAGAAAATTATTGTGCAAATGACTAGAAAGTTTGGATAATACAGCTCATGTTTGAAGAAGTTCCTCCTTGCTTGACTTTCTCCGTGTTTCTCAATGCCCTGTGAGCTGATTTGCGTCTCCTAATTTGTGTTCCATGTGGCTGACTCAAGACTGACAGATGAAAAGGGCCATCTATTTTAGGACACTGATGGCAGAGCTTCATTCTGTTTCTCTGTCTGGGCGAGGCCAGTCAGAAATAGCTGACCTTCCCATAACTAATCAGGGATTGACTTGAAATATTATTGCAGCTGGTACATCAAAATCAGTGGAGATGGAGGTGGAGCTGCAATGGCTCTGTCAGTCCACGTGAACTGTGTTACAGAGCCCAGAGTAGCAGTAAGGACTTGCAAAATTCAGAATTGGAGGTGAAAACTTGCCTGTCTACTAGCAGGGAAGGATATATGAACACTTTGAAAGTTACTATAAATCACTTCACTAAATTAAGATTGCGTTTGTTTGTTTCTTTATGGAACTCTGAAAACATGTCAGCCAAATCACAGAGATGCCTCTGGAAAGTCCTGACCTTTATTGCACATACACTTAGCTTTACAAATTTGCATCTTACCTGTAAAGTAATAGCTTTAATGACACTGAGCATTTAACTGCTTTATTTGTTCCCATTCAATTTATTTGCATATCTGACAAATGCAAGCAAATAAAACCAAGAACATCCTAAAAATGAAAAAGTGAAACCAATTCCTGCATCACATCTCCCAAGCACCTGGTATAGAAATATCAAACTTTTTAAAAAAGAAGACACTTTCCCATCTGTGTTCCTTGGACATTTTGGAAAGTGATCAGGTAGCACATTTAAATTCCAATGACTCACTGCATAAGAAAAAGGCTTTTCCAAAAATTCTTGTAATGCCAAGGAAGCCTTCTCTGCCATCTCCAGTGAATTACAGGGTTTCCTCCTGTAGAGATCTGTTGAGTTTGTACCATGCATCAGATCCTGCAGTTCTTACCCAATAAAATTCCACTGGTGTTATCTATCACTGGAGTAAATAATCCTCACTGCTTTCCTGTGCTGGGAAGTGCTGTAACCAAGAGAAAGATGAAGTCAATTCACTCCATAAAATACGTGTTGCAAAATTTTATTGCAACAGATTTAGCTCTTAGGAATTCCTACTGCCAATGCCCACTCAGACAGTACTGCAGTGTGCTCACGGAGAGTAACGGGAAAGACTGTTTCTACCTGCTCTCACTTCCAGACAGGTGAAGCAGAGATGTGTCCTGAGTGTTTTCATAACACTACATTATCTGCCTAATGCCTTGTTTGCATATTACGATTCATATTTTATTCAAACTTGATACTATACTAACTTAATACAGAAGCTTTTCTGATATTTTGTGGCCCTTCTGCACTGCCCAGTTTCAGTGCAGAATAGTAAACAGATTTCCAGTCAAACAGAGTCTTTGTGTCATGTTTTGTTTCCCTGGCAGACGCAGATGCAGTTCATTTTGCTATACTTGAAGGTGATCTTTGGAGAGTATGCTATTAAAGAACAATAAGCAAAAAAATAATATTAATATTCAGAAAAAGAACATAGAATGTGTTATAGCAGGAAATAAAGCATATTTTAGAGCATATTTTAGAAAAACATTACTTGCTAGTTAGAATAATGTCCAGTCAAAATAGAAGAAATAGAAAAAGTCAGATTCAGCTCAGAACTAACCTGTTCAAATTTAGACAACTTCATGTGAGCTAGATGTCCTTCCATTTTAATCAATACAGATCTAATAAATGCAAATGGTAGCTCCAGCTAGTTCTCAGGGGATCCTGCTGGCTTTCAGCTGCCACTCTAGAGGGCAATGTTTGTCTCCTGGTTTTAACTACATTTGCTAGCACTACACAGGGGTCTTAGGTACCCACCTGAAAAGGCACTGGGAGTGAGGGTTACTAAATCAAGCCTGGAAAGAGGGATACAGCTGCCTTGCCATCATTCCCTACCACTCCCCACCAGTACCACCGGATACTCCAGCATGTCTAATACATCTACATTTGGCAAAGAGGGATGACGAAGGATTTAGAGGAGATCCACACTTTTCTCAAATGACTGCTACAGGCCAAGTTCACATCACCTAAAACTGATGCTAGATACCTCTGTTTAGATGACTGAAACCAGTCTCCACTAGTTGGTCAGGTCATTCTGGAGGTAATGCTGGTTGTTTTAACTAGACCTCCATTGACTTTAGCAGCAGCACAGATCTCTATTTCACACGGAGACATGAATTTCAAGGTCTTACTCTGGAACTCAGTCCCACTCTGCAGGTAGGAGCTCCCAACAATTTTGCTGCTGTGTGGGTGGCCTTACGAAAGATTTGCCCAAAGCTTATGAAATTTCATTCAGTGAAATCCAGAGATATAGACACTCACAACATAAACAAAATCAATAAAACATAAACAAAATCATTGCCACAGTTTTTTAGGATATAAATTAAAAAAAAAAAAAAAGAGAGAGAGAGAGAGAGAGAGAGAGAGAGAATTACTTCAGATGTGCTGTTCAACGTAATGCCATTTGGCTCATCTTGAAAATTATATTTCTGAGTGTTATACATTATTTATAACATTCAAAATACCAATTAGGCCAGGCTTTGTATAACTACTGAGAAACTCACTACAACCTGAATTTGGTGAATTCTGACAATGAAAATAATAAAAAGGCTTTTCACTCTTGTGCTTTAGTCTGCAAATCTCAATTTTTTTTTTCTTTTCAAAATTGTTATGCACTGCTATTTATACCCGTGAATAAGGAAACTGTGGCACACAATGGCAAAATGCCTTTTTCAGTGTTACATCTGATGTGAAAAGGGAACTCCAGTCTCCTGACTCAGCCACTGAAACACATATAATAAAAGAAATAAAATGGTTAATAAATAAAATGGTTGGTTTCATTCTTAGTGCACCCAGCTGCCTCCAGGTGGCTTCAGGTCAGACAAAAAAAAATAATTAAAAAAATAAAAATAAAAATCAGTGACTCTATGAACCTATGAGAGAGTAACTTACTCTCATGAGTGGCTTCACCGAAATCAGTTTGTATGAAGTTTCACTGAATTCAAATGACACCTGAATCACTGACATAGGTTCTGTACATTCGTTCTGGTCTCAGAGTAGAATGTTCTTCCTGAGATGATCTCATTTAATTATTCTCTTTTGTATTTATGGTACATTCTCTGGCAGCACTATCTTCTAAATACTCTTAACATCTCCAGTATTATGCCCGACTATGTCTGGAATGAATCAGAAGACAGATTTAGATCTGTTATGTCATCATAAAAATTCACTTTTTCACACCACTTGAATGCTCACTGAAAGTTCCAGGGCACTTTTTCTTCAATTCAATTAAATTAAATTCTGAAGGTTCCTCAATAGAATAGAGAAAGATTCAAGGCAGTGAAAATAGGGGCAGGCTTATCAAATCAAAACAATCATTAATCTGATTCTTAAACGCGGTCACTCTCCAATTACTTTGTAAACTCCTAAATTTCTACAGAAAGACTGACACTTTAAAGTCATAGCCAAATTTATCCCTACTATAATGACAATGATGTAATTAAATCTGTTTTAACACACAATCAATTTGGCCAATTATGCCCAACATCCATTGATTTTGTTGATTCATAGTGTGAAGATTGAAGGCCCTCATATAATGGATGCATTCCAATCTCATTTAACAAAGCTGGCAAAAGTTTTATGATTATATTTCTGTTTATTTTTCTTTTGTAGATAAGGCTAAACTAACTCCAAAATCTGCATATTTTTGTTTATTTATGTATCTAAATGGCTCCAGCATCAATATACTATATGAGCCCCTCCTCGTATTTAAAAATAGAAAAGAATTAAAAACAAAACGAAACAATAGCGGGCTGTTTCTTTCTTCCCTTTCCATCTGAAGGAGAAAAAGCTTGATTAGTTTATGGGAGCGGGAGGTTGTTTATTTGCTTGTTTATGTTTGTGTGTGATTGAGTAAATGTCGTGTGTATATGTTTGGAATTGGCAGGCAGCTCCTTATCTGTGCTGGCAGATATGTCCATGATCTAAAAACAGCCTGTTAGAACTGGCTGCATGTCTCACTACACACCAAGAAACAATTTCTGCAGCTGCCTCAGAGCTGAGTCCTTCTGAGACCTCATTGCCCATTTGCTGTTGGAGAAAAAACGTTTTGAACATCAATAAAATACCGCACCCACTGATTCAGATCCTTGTCCAGTCCATCCTCCCCAGCTGGGTAGTATGTTATCCATTGCACCTACAAGATCAATTGTCAGCAGTGTGCTGGGCAGACATATAGAGTATAGTACACCTTGTCCATTAAATCCTTGGCTGGGATTCATCTTACCTAAGACTAGACAGCTGCACTATAGCTGCCTCCAATTAAGCCAGTCCACCTCAGGTTTCCTTTACAGTTATATAGGCACTTTTAGGGCACCGTCCATCTGATCTATTTTTGCATGACTACTCCAACATGCAGTGAATTACACCCTAGAAGTTCAATTCTCTGAATTCACTGAAAAGGGCCTGGCCCTGCCTTCTTTGTACCCTCCCCTCAGGTATTTATATACAATCACAGAATCATTTAGTTTGGAAAAGACTTTTCAGATCACGTCCACACTACAATTTGACCACTGAATCATGTCCCTAAGTGCCACATCCATGTCTTTTAAATGTCTCCAGGGATGGCAACTCCTATGGACAGCCTGTTCTGATGCCTAACCACCCTCACATCAATAAATTCTTCCTGATATCCAGTCTAAACCTTCCCGGGTGCAACTTGAGGACATTTCCTCAAATCCTATCACTTGTCACCTGAGGAAGGCTGACATCCTCCTTCTGCAACCTCCTTTCAGGTAGTCATATAGAGCAATGAGGTCTCCCCTCAACCTCCTCTTTTCCAGACCAAACAGCCCCAGTTCCCTTAGGCACTCCTCATTAGTCATGTTTTCTAGTCCCTCCACAAGCATCATTGCTCTCCTCTGCACTCGCTGGAGCAACTCAATATCCTTTCTTGTAGTGAGGAGCCCAAAACTAAACACAGTTCTTGAGATGAGGTCTTACCAGTCCAATGTACAAGGCCACAATCACATCCCTCATCCTCCTGCCCACA